CGCGTGTGTGTGCGTGTGTGTGTGAGTGCGGGCGTGTGTGTGTGTGTGAGTGTGCGTGTGTGTGTGTGTGCGTTCGCGCGCGTGTGTGTATGAGCGAGTGCGTGTGTGTGTGTGTGAGTGCGTGTGTGTGTGTGAGTGCGCGCGCGCGCGTGTGTGTGTGTGTGTGTGTGTGTGAGTGTGTGTGTGTGTGTGTGTGCGTGTGTGTGCGTGTGTGTGTGTGTGCGTGTGTGTGTGTGTGTGTGTGCGCGTGTGTGTGTGTGTGAGTGCGTGTGTGTGTGTGTGAGTGCGTTTGTGTGTGTATGTGTGAGTGCGCGTGTGTGTGTGTGAGAGTGCGCGTGTGTGTATGTGTGTGTGTGTGTGTGTGCGTGTGTGTGTGTGTGTGTGTGCGTGTGTGTGTGTGTGTGTGTGCGCGTGTGTGTGTGTGTGTGTGTGTGTGTGTGTGAGTGTGTGTGTGTGTGTGTGTGTGTGTGTGTGTGTGTATGAGTACGTGTGTGTGTGTATGTGTGTGTGAGTGCGCGTGTGTATGTGTGTGTGAGTGCGCGCGTGTGTGTGTGTGTGTGTGTGTGCACGTGTGTGTGTGTGTGTGCGCGCGCGCATGTGTGTGTGTGCAGAGATGGGATATGTACCGAGTCGAGTAAAACTCGGCTCAGTCTGGCCCAAAACTCGACCGGGTTCGAGTTCGAGTCGGGTGAAACCCGGTCGAGTTTTTTTGCCCAGGTACTGGACTCGAGACTCGACTATATAAGGGCGAGTTTTTAAAAACTCGGCTGGGGCTTTTCATACACTCGGTCGAGTCCTAGTTAAACTCGACTCGGTGGGAGGGGGCAGAGGGGATACGTCATAAAAAAGCTGGACATGAGGCTTCTTTTTGTGCGTGGTCTGTATCCTACATTATTGCACGCCATGTACTACGACAAATCTAGGACCCTTCTAAAACAGCAGTGCGCATTTGATGCACACGATCTAGTCGCATTTCTGCAACAGAGGCATGCAGGCAACGGCATAACAATAAATTAGTCTACCATGCATGCATGTTTATGGCTAGGGAATCCAGGTCTGGCGCCCTGGTGAGCGTTTGGGGAAGTTTGCGGGCACAAAAGCAATGGCACGACCATAGGTTTGCATAAATAAACCTCAAAACAAACCTACCATACCACCTCCCATCCCACATACCACGGACCGGCAAACACACTCTCCCAGACTCAACCTCCTCACACGACGTCCTCCGTCTCCAATCCAACTGCCTCGTTTTCTGCCTTCTCCAAGCAAACCTTGGCCGTTTTCCAAAGCTGGCAACCTGGATGCAAGTCGAAGAACGACTCGAGGATCATGCATGCCCGCATCCGCTCAGGCCCAAGCCTATGCCGCTGCCAATGAAGAAGGTTGCGTCCCTGTGAGAATAGGCGCTCGCTTGCAGCCGACGTAGCTGGGATGGCCAGGTAATCCAAGGCCATGGCCCGAAGACCCACAAGGTCTGTCCTGCGGCGCCAGAACGCGAGCGGGTCAGTGTCCAGTGACTCTAAACGCTCCCCCAAGTAAATTTGAATCTCGTCAGTGACCGCCGGAGCTTGACGGTCGCGGTACGTCGCCAGACGAGCCACCAGGCCCCTACAGTCTCCATCCTGTCCACCAAAGGCATTGGTGCCCAGGCCCCTTCCCCCCCTGCTGCTGCTCCCCACAGCCCTGCTGCTGGTGCTTGCCAATGCCCTCTGGCCCCCTACCCTCACCGACCCCTCTCTCCCCTCCGCCATCTCCCTGGCCTGCCGCGCCTTCTCTAAGTACGGGCGGTACGCTGCTCGTACAGTGGCAAGGACCTTCCCAGCGTCAATGTGCGACGTTGTCGATGCTGGCTCCCCCTCTCCCCCCTCCCTCGTCCCCCCCCCATCCTCCCTCCCTTCCTCATCCACTGGCAGCTCAAAGTACCCAAGCTTGAAGCTCGGGTCTAGGAATGTGGCGATCATCAGCTCGTCGCTGCTGCCGTCGTAGTACTCCGCCAGCTTCCCCAGGGCGGCCTCAATGCATCCCAGCAAGACCTGGGAGGGTGGAGTGGTCGTGCTATCCCTCATCCTCTCGAGCTCGTCCAGGAGCTCGTTGAACTGTGGGACCACCCTGTTGATGGTGGGGTAGGTGGATCCCTCAGCAGCAAGAGTGACAGCGTGAAAGGGTTGAAGGAAGGTGGCGAGCTCCTTCAAACCTTTCCACATGTCGTCTGTGATTTGCAGTCCCTGCAGCTGTGCAGCGTCCTTAGCGTTGCAATGCTGTTGGTTTTGAAAAGGGTTGAGATGGGATGGGGGCACAAGTGGGATGTGGAGTGTACCGCGTGTTAAGGCTATATAGCATGGATGGAGGGTTAAGGATGGTTGAGTTGAGGCACTTGCATCCTTAATGAATATGCGAAGACAGGGTTTAGGCGGGTTAGGTCAGGATCATACAGGTGCACGCCGCACAAACGTGTCGATGGCATGCCAGAGGCGCAGGCCCCGCTCGATCATCAGGTACG